TGAAAATGTCGGTTTTGCCCTCTTCACGAAACTGGAAAATGCGCACGATTTTATGGCGACTGTCAATCCTTTTTGTTTTGTCTCTTACATAGTTTCTTACTTTATCCAGGTCGTAATGTCTCAACATTTCTTTTTTCGTCGCCCATTCCGGGCGTCAAAAAATCGACTGACATCTTAAATACTTGCCGGGTGTGGGGAGTTCAGAAAATCTGATCATCGCTGCATGGTGAATTAAATTGCGGACTACATTAAGAACGCCGAAACTGACTCACGAGGCAAGAAGCGGAGTCAGGAGAAACCTCGCCCCTTGAGTAGTTACCAAAGTTACTTACAGAGCTTGACCTCACTCAGCAGAGACATAATAATCTAATCACCCCAAAAATATCTAGATTATATATTTTTTATAGCGAATGATAGTTCTAGGAAAGGTTTTCTTCTTTGGATATCTGTTCTACTTTTGGCCAATGTGGAATTTCGTGTGTTTACCCAATACTTCTTGTATGTGTAACCTGTATATATATTGCCGCTGTGGGTGAAATATTTGGAAAGCTGATAACTTGGCAAGCTCTTCCTACGCTTTTTTTTTTCTACCAGCCCCCACCATTGTGTCGGTAGCAGAAAAAAAATTGATCTGATTGATTTAACGTAACAGACTCAGATATGTCCTCCACCACGCTTCATCTCCCTTGTCGTCGACAAAGTGGCAAAATATACCTCTGGGTTTTATTACACCTAAAAACGTCGCTAATAACAATGCTTATGAATGCAGACGGATAGGTCGATAGGTGAAAATTATTCACCAGCGCGTTCAAAAACCTACCGAAGGCGAATTGGCCTTCCCTTCAACCGTCCTACAGGGCGCTTGCAGAAGAGCACGATGCAACTCCGCTTCCGGCTCCAGATCTCTGCCGAAATAAACGCCAGTGAGATTCGTCTGTTTTTGTCCTATGGCCACCATCTCTCTCTCTCTCTCTATGCGCGAAAGCAGTGTCTTCCAGATTGCTCGAGTATTTCTTTCGCGTCGTGATCGACTGTGGTTGGAAACACGCAGGAGTATTGGCTTGTATTCAACATGTACACATACTGGTCTTTACTCTGACTTCAGACGAGGCGGCGCTTGAGAAGTCGGTTAGTCGGCGGCCAAAACGGATGCGGCAGACGCCAACCAGTGGTTCTGAAAAGCCAGTAAACGGAGGAAGCTTGGGATAAAAGGGACCGTACAACGAAATTGGGCAGGTATGTTTCTCACATTAAACGAGCTCATTTCCTAGCTATAGCCTATTTAAACGGTCCCACTTAACTGCCGTCATATGTAACCAGTTACGCCACTGTACTCATGGACAACTTTCTGTGCAAATGCAGTCTGTAGAAAACACGTCAAGCGACTCCGATGTCTCGGATGGAATGTCTTTAATCACGCGCGGTCGCGACCACCTCAGCGCTTGTGCATGGCGATGGTGCCGCGAGCTAAAAGAGAAAACAAAAAAACAACACAGTGTCTAGCACGGGGCCCCTACAGGGCTCCCCCCCTAGCAACATGGAGCAAAGTGTGTCACTCATGGGGCAGAGTCAGATGTTCCATGAGACACGCTTAGTGACCGGTGGCGAACTTGTAGGCGCGTGGGAGTTTCCTTGTTGTATGATCGTAGCCGGAGGTGCAGGATTATCGTCCAGGAAGGCTGGCTTTATGCGGTCCATTGCAACGATCTCTGTGCGACCGTGCAAATCGAGGGTCATCGTTTTTGCCGTACGGTCAATGACTTTGAATGGCCCGTCGTAAGGCGGTGTCAAACTCCTCTTGAAACCCTCCTTCCGCAGGAAAACGTGCGTGCATGTTGTTAGATCTTGGCTTACAAAAACTCTGCGGGAGCTTGGCAGGCGAGGTGGTGTTGGTTGTAGCCGTTGGAAGATCTCCCTCAAGTTTTCCAAGTATGTCTGAGATGGGAGTGATGCAAATGTCTTGGGTGCTTCGAAAAATTCTCCGGGTAAACGAAGTGGTGCACCATACACCAACTCTGCGGAGGTGCAGTTCAGGTCTTGTTTGTATGTAGATCGGATACCGAGCAGGACAAGAGGCAAATGGTCCACCCAGTAAAGGCGTCCGTCTCGTGCCGTGATAGCCGCTTTGAGCCGCCGGTGTAAGCGTTCCACCATGCCATTAGCCGACGGGTGGTATGCGGCGGTGTGGATGTGGCGGGCCCCGAACAGGTCGGTTAGGGCCGCAAACAAGGTGCTCTGGAACTGGCGTCCCCTGTCTGTCGTTACTGTTGATGGGCAACCGAAGCGAGAAACCCACGTCCCTAGAAATGTTCTTGCGACGGTCTCAGCAGAGATGTCGGCCAGTGGAACTGCTTCGGGCCACCTAGTGTACCGATCAACAGCTGTTAAAATGTAGGTGAATCCTCGAGATGATGGGAGAGGGCCTACGATGTCGATGTGCACGTGGTCGAATCTTGCATCCGGGGCTGGGAACGGTTTGAAGGGTGTTAGGGTATGTTTGTTCACTTTAGAGCTCTGGCACTGTAGACATGTTTTTGCCCAACTGCGCACATCTGCGTTCATTTTTGGCCACACATAGCGTGCTGTGATCAGTCGTTGTGTATTTCGGATACCTGGATGGCTGAAGGTGTGCAGTCGGTCGAAAACCTGGCGCCTCAGGGCCAACGGAACAAAAGGTCGTGCTGTTCCCGTAGATATGTCACATATGATGGTGGTTGACGAGTTCGGAAGAGGTATGTCCTTGAGTACAAGTGTGGTCGTTGCATTTCGCAGAACTTGTAACTCTGAATCTACCTGTTGTGCTGCAGCTAGGGTCTGGAGGTCCACAGAGGCAGAAGTAGAAGAGAAGGCAACAATGCGAGAGAGCGCGTCGGCTGCGCTGTTGTCTTGGCCCTTGACGTGTCGAAGGTCGGCGGTAAACTCGGAGATGAAGGCAAGATGTCTTATCTCACGCGCCGAGTAGGTGGTGTGGTTGCTCCGAAAGGCGTACGTCAGGGGCTTGTGGTCTGTGAGTACATGAAACGGTCGTCCTTGTAGGAAGTAGCGGAAATGTTTGACAGCCAAATAAATTGCAAGTAACTCACGCCCAAAGGTGCTATAGCGCGTTTCCGCAAGCTTCAGTTTTTGTGAATAGAAACCAAGCGGTTTCCAGACTCCGTCTAACTGCTGTTGCAGGACAGCTCCTACAGCTGTGTCGGAGGCGTCGGTGAGGAGTCGGGTGGGTGCATCGGGAAGTGGGTGGACAAGAAGTGTTGCGTTGGCTAAGGCCTCTTTCACTGCGGAAAAGGCTGACGCAACCTCTTCGCTCCATGGCACTTCCGATGACGGTCCTTTCTTTGTCTTCAGAAGGTCTGTCATTGGTTTAAGAATTTTCGCGCACTGTGGTATGAATCTGCGATGGAAATTCACCAGACCCAGGAATTCTCGGAGCTTGCGCAGAGATGTTGGTCGCGGAAACTCGCGAATCACCTTTACCTTGTCTTCTAGCGGCTGGATTCCTAGCTGGGTGATGCGATGGCCAAGGAATTCTAAGCTATCTACTCCGAAGACGCACTTAGTAGGGTTAAGGACAAGGCCGAATTCCTGTAGCCGGTCGAATAAAACTCTGAGGTGTTGCTCGTGCTCGTCTGGTGTGGCACTAGCTACAAGAAGGTCGTCCAAGTAAGCGAAAACAAAAGGCAGACCTCGCGTGACCTTGTCAATGAATCGCTGGAACGTCTGAGCAGCGTTTCGCAAACCGAAGGGCATACGGACGTACTCAAACAGTCCGAACGGTGTAATGATGGCCGTTTTCACTATGTCTGCCGGTTCCACAAGAATTTGGTGATACGCTTTTACCAAGTCGATTTTGCTGTAGATGGATGCACCTGATAGATTTTCAGAGAAGCTCTGGATATGCGGCAGGGGATAGCGATCGGGAACTGTGCAGGCGTTCAGCGCTCTATAGTTTCCACACGGTCGCCAGTCATTGGGGTCTTTCTTAGGGACCACGTGCAGAGGTGATGCCCAATTGCTCGCCGAGGGTCGTACGATGCCTAGCTGCAACATATGGTCGAACTCACGACGTGCGATGGCGAGGCGCTCGCCGGCAAGCCGACGAGGGAGTGCGGAGACGGGTGGGCCGGTAGTTGTGATGTGGTGCGTGACTCCGTGCTTGGCAGGGAGTTCAAGGTTGCTGGGTCTTGAGAGTGTAGGGTATTCAGTGAGGATGGCTTCATAGCGCGATGTGGCTGGAAGTGGTTGCAGCGAAGTCACCGTGAAGTTGGAAAGGATGCCTTGCACTGACAATGATGTTGTCGAATCCGTGAGTCGCCGGACTTGAAGGTTCACACACAGACCAAAATGTGAGAGGAAGTCTGCTCCCAATATTGGTTGTCGCAAGTCGGCTATGATGAAAACCCATCGAAATGTTCGACGCAGTCCGATTTCGATGGTGAGGGATCGTTGCCCGTACGTCTTGATCGCAGAGCTGTTGACGGCACGCAGGGGAGGTGAAGGCGCCTGCTGCTGGAGGCGGTCGTTGCGTGACGCTGGTAAGATGCTGACTTCAGCTCCAGTGTCAACAAGGAAACGGTGCCCTGCGATTCGATCGACGACAAAGAACAAGCGGCTTGTTGTGTGGCCTTAGAGTGCCTTCATACACACGCGCGCTTTTGCTTGAGTGGTGACATCTCAGCCATTTTACCGCCCAATCGTTTTTTTTATGCATTTGAAGCGCGCGCAATCTGGTGTCACTTAGCTCGAGCGCGTAGCTTTGGCTAATGCATAGACGCCATTTTACTGCCCAAGTCACGCACCGAGTGCGCGAGAGCGTCACGCGCTGGCACATTCAGTGCAACAATGGATGTCTTCACCTTAAGACAAACAGACATGTAGGCACCCTATGTGGCCTTGGTCACCAGCGCTGCTAGTGCTGGGCCTCGGCGTTTCCCGACCACGAACAAGGTCTCGTGCACCGTGTGGCTCGCTCACCGAAGCGGCGATGGTACCAGCAGTGCTGGTCAGAATGCGAATCTCGTGGCAACGCAGACCTGTAACGTGAGGGAGTGCGTAGCGGGGATCGCGACGGTCGGGCTGCGGTTGTTTGCGATCGACCCATGGCAGCAATGGCTTTCGTGAGCTGCTCCAGTTTGGTTTCTATGTTCGAAGCCCGTGTTTCCCAGGGTGTTGGTTGCGGTGTTTCGATAGCACTCACGGTCTGCGAGGAATATTCTGCGGTGCGGTCGGCAAGCACTGCCAGGCGGTCTAGAGGCATGTCATCCGCAGCGGCCAGGATCATGCGCATGCCTTGAGGAAGCTTCTGGAGGAACAACTCCCGCAGTATGGAACCTTGTGCTTCTGAAGCTAGCGGTCCCAACAGCTGCTTCATGCAATGTAGAAGTTGCGTCGGGCGACGATCGCCCAGTTCTTCGGCGGTGAGGAGCTGTTGGATGCGGGAGCTCTCTGATGTCATTGTCCTGGCGAGAAGTATTGTCTTCAAATGGTCGTAGGCATCTTCTCGTGGCGGTTGGGCTAACACGTCGTCGAGCTGGTCTGCCACCTCCGCTGGTAAAGAGGCGACGACGTGGTAGTAGCGCGCCATTTGCGTTGTGATTCTTCTCAAGTGGAAACGGGCCTCGACCTGGGTAAACCAGACTTGCGGGTTTTTAGGCCAGAACGTTGGTAGACGAACGTCGATCGTAGCGAGAGCGGAGTCACCAGAGGTTGCTGTCACGTCACCGTCGGAAGAAACGTTGCCTTGATCCATGTTTAGCTTGGATCCGGCGTCCGAGGTGTAAAAGTGACGCTGTTCAAGATTCCGGGTCACCAGTTTGTAGAAAACACGTCAAGCGACTCCGATGTCTCGGATGGAATGCCTTTAATCACGCGCGCTCGCGACCACCTCAGCGCTTGTGCATGGCGATGGTGCCGCGAGCTAAAAGAGAAAACAACAACAAAAAAAAAAAGTGTCTAGCACGGGGCCCCTACACAGTCAAAGGAATGGGCGCACGTGCGCTTCCGCCCCTTGAGTGCCTATCAAAGCTGTGCACGCGCTCCGTTTGTGTACCTCTTCCTGTCCGTGTCTTTTTTGCGTTGTTTTACCCTTTTAAAATGCATCACCAACTCCACCAACTCGCCCAACTCACCATCGTACCGCGCGCACTCTTTCACTTATTAAAGGGATTATACGGTTATATCCGGAAGCTGCTAAGTTTTTGCGGTGGTCACATTAAGCAAGCCTAGATATAGTCATACGTGATATTCATTTAATTAAAAGACGCCCCAATACTCGTTAAATCAATTATAGACATTTATACGAAACTCCACGCCAAATTTCGCAAGTATGCATGGCTGGTCGTCTCGTGACGTCACATCAGGCATGGTAACGTCAGAGGCGCGGGCGTGGACGTATTCCCGGTTTTGATTAACATGGTTGATGGTGCGTACAAAGATCAGTGTTGAAGAATTGAGCTTCCCTCAATACCGTAAATCTTGTCTTAGAGCAAAGTTGTTTTACTGAGACAGCAGTTAAAAGGTGTGGTGGCTCTCTTTGCCTGATTTTACGTCATAGCTTCCGCTGTTTCCAACGAAAGCACTGTGTGTTTTGCAGGTGCAGTCTGAGCAGTTTGACTCTGTTTACTTTTGAATTTCTTGTGCGGCGGAGGATTAAAAGTTTGGGTATTGTGCAGATAATATTCCTAGAAACAATGACAAGATAATTTTTTTTTTTTTGAAAGACAAAAGTTCACCGGACAATCATTTTTAACTAGCTCTCCGAAAGTATTGTGGGGTTACTGCGGTCGTACCTGCAGCTGTGTTATACGGAGCCTTTTAACCGCAGTTAAGTAACACTGAGGTCAAACTTAACTGCTGGTAATTGTTTCGGACGGGCATCCTAAACCGAAGTAACGGTAAAATAAGGTTAGCAGTTACAGCAAACTATTCCATATTTACACGAGCATCCTTAACTGCAATTCAGTCTAACCCGAGTCACACTTAACTGCGGTTAAGTGTACCCGTTTAACTAAAGAATAACTGTTACTAGCGGGACCGAAGTGTACTCTCATGCAACGCCACTGACCATTCAGCCGTTTTATCGCCGCGTAATGTCAACGATACCGCTGCCATTTTCTTTAAGTCTCTCCTCCGCAAAACTTGATGACGTGGTTGCGGGGATCGCAGTGTTGGCGTTGTCAGCAGTGCGATGCCCAGGATTTCGTCAAGCTTCGCGCTCCCCGCGGTGACGATATTTGAAAGCGGCTCAAGCAGAGCACACGACCACTGCGGTGGCGTTTGATTTGTACTCGTGACAATTAATGCCTCGGCATGCGTTCGGGGAGTGGCTCGAGGCCATTCGCTGCAATGACGGCGAGACCCGAACCTTAACAATGTATGGAAGTCAGCGCCTGCCCTGTGCCCTTCGCAACCCCAGCGCTTGGCTATAATAAGCTGCCGGCATATAATTAGCTTCAGATCACGTGATCGCTTGTTCCGGTTGAGAATGGACGGGTTAAGCGGTGCTAATGTTTCTGGTTTTTTTTTTTCGTTTTTTTCTTCGACTGTACTTGCGTGGAGAAGGAAAAAACTAACGCGTGTTTTATGGGCTGTGAATTACCAAGAAATAGTTTTAAGCAGTATCTATCTAGTACAAAAATGATTGCATCGCCCCTCTAAGCGTCCCCGTGCTCGCTTGTACATCCTGCGACTTGTCGTCAAGTGAGCCGTCTGCCTACTTCTGCGTTTTACCGAAGACGACGCTAGCGAGGAATACCTTACGTGCAGGCGGTTAGGATAAAAAGCGAAAGGTGTTGCTGCCAGGGGCGGCTCAGTGACCTTAGAGTTTGTATTTTTTAAATGTTGTACTTGAACATGCACCCGGCAGCGTTTCTGGAGGTGACGTCAGGTGCAAAAGCCACATGTGTCAGATCTGTTATTCTCACCGGAAGTTTCTACACTCACAAACAAGTTCTTAACGCATCCTTTTGTTTCTTCGAGTAATCCAGAACTTCGGAAGCTTGCAGTTAGCGGAATTTTGTTTTTATGCCACAGCATTTACGGAGCCATCAAACCGTGAAATCGTCTGCATCCGTCCGAGCAGATGTGGCGAGGGATGAGGCGGCGTGGTTGGTGAAGTGTCCCAGGTAGCACAGCTCTTTGGGGTGAAATTTGGGATTAGAGCGCAGCTCTTAGGTGCCCGTTTCCGGGTCTAGCGGCATCGGCGTCCGCGTAATCGGGCGTTGCATTATTAGACGTTTCCTATAATGACGTCACACGTGACCTCACGTGGGACGCCACGAGGGTAAAATTTTCTCGCTAAATTTGGCTGGAAAATGTTTCGCTAAGTTTGGTGGGAAATGTTTCCGCTATATTTAGTGAGACGTTTCCTGTAATGACGTCAGACGTGACGTCACGTGTGACGTCATGAAAAACTTGTAGCTAAACTTGGCGGGAAATTTTCCTGCTAAATTTAGTGGGACGTTTCCTATAATGACGTCACACGTGACGCCACGCGTGACGTTACGAGGGTAAAATTTTCCCACTAAATTGAGCCGTAAAATTTTTCACTAAGTCTAGCCGGAAACTTTACCCGCTAAATTTAGCAGAAAAATTTCCCCACTAAATTTAGCGGAAACATTTTCCCACTAAATTTAGCGGAAAAAAGTTTCCGATAAATTTAGCGACAAAACTTCCCGTCTTTTCTCTTCGATCCAAGTTTCCCTGCTTTTACCAGTCTCGGGTATTCTACATCATGATCAACTTCCACCAGCTCGCCTGCGCACTCCCTGTTTTTTCATCGAAAAAATTTCCCCGCTATATTCCGCGGAAATATTTGCACGCTAAATTCAGCGGGGAATTCAGCGAACATTTTCCGCTAAATAGGAGGGGAGCAGAGAAGGAGAAGAGGCATACCCCCCGCGCCTCCGTACCCTCCCCTCCTCCTCCTCAAGAGCTGCGCTCTAATTCGGCCTTACAATAAATTGTAAACGTCTTTCTTTTTTTTTTTTTTCTAAGAATTTAAAACCTCGAAAGCCCGATAAAGCCGAGGTGGAGCCAAACTTAACCTTCTTTGGTTCGAGTGTGAGAATCTTTGCCACAAATCAAGAAACAAGTTCCAGGATTGCGATTGACTGGCTGGTGGTTCAACTGTTATATCTGGCACCTTTATGCATAAATCATTAAACAAGCGCCATAATTAGGCTTCACTGGTGGTTGTTCGCTTGATACGTGTCGTCCTTGGCTAAAGTCTGACACTTTGTCAATCACATGGCGCACCTAAGAAAATCTGTGCGAAATCCAAAGAAGTGTACTTTGGAACTATAACTAACGCATTGAAGAAAAACGTTATTAAGCCCAACTTGGGCCCCTAGTATTGCCAAACTCGGGCCAAGATCCTTTGGTGTGCTGCCTTCGGTGTGCTGCCTGGAATATGTTTCAACAGCGTGAACCAGTTGTGCGCCCAGATAGCACGCGCTTTGGTATAATCTAGATGATGTGACGTAAGCACAGTGCAGGTGCGCTTAGGAGGAGAAAGGTGAGGCTCAGTCTTCGCAATGCCCCTGAGAAAAAGACCGCCGCTTTTGAGGGAAAAATCCCCGCAAAATCAGCTCCACACTGATAGAGACTGAGATAATTTACTGCATTATACCAACCGGACACAGGGGTGAGGAAAACAAATATTATAGAAATATGGAGTTAAGAATGAAAATTACACTGAAGCCTCACTAATTTAATAACTTAAAATTATCAAACAACCAACCAGCGGTCCACCAAGCGAAGAAAGAGCATGTGACCGGAGCAAGCAAAAACATTCTCCGCCTGCCCCGGGTGAGGATCGAACTCACGACCTTCAGATTATGAGACTGACGCGCTGCCTACTGCGCTACCGAGGCGGATGCTGCCAACCTACATACCGTCAATTTTCGTACCTGGCTTACAGGTTAGCTTTCCCGACGAACGGTTTCCAGAGGCACCAAACTGCTGGTATAGCAATGTCTTTGATGAAAAATTAAATCCATATATATTTTTCTCGATTTGCCAACCTCTGGAGACGAGAGCTGGAGAGAGGTGCGGGACATGGGTATATTGCAGCGGATGGAAATGGCTCGAGTGTCGTAAAATAGAAATAAAGGTATAATCGACGCACTTGCGCTAGAAAAAAAAAAAATAGTAATGAGCGTAGAAAAAGCAGAAGCTGCCGTCGCGGCGTCGACATGACAGGTGGCTTGAGCGAGACTGCGGGAGGGAAGTGTGCCTCGCCGTCGGGAAACTCTGAGCGAGTCAGCAAGGTCGCGCTCGGCTCTTCATCTTTTACACTCGGTATCACGAACATACGACTTAGAATGTTCGAGGGTGAGCTAGGGCGAGATGGAGTCGGAATAAGTGTGAACTCGACTCTCCTAGAAGTACGGAAAAGCATTGTTACTCGGCCATGCAGGCGGCAATATTATCATGCCGGTACTGTTCAATCCGCCTATCCCGAGAATAAAAAACCACGTAAATTATAACGTTATAACTGACTGCCATTGTTTTTGGACGAGGAACGGATAATTTTTAGTTTAGAAACTCCAGAAGCGGATCGTTATAAGCAGTAGATCGTTATATCTGGTATCATTGTAAGTGGATTGCACTTTACTCATAAATTCATCATGAGTTTGAGGTTTTTCGGACCGTTCGCTTGTATAGGGAAGTCGTATTGCAACCGTTCAAGCCACTCATTCATCTTCTCTTTTTTTTTTTACATACAAG